GACAAACTAACAAAATTTAAGTTTGAATTGAAAAAGAGAAAGCATTTCAAAAAAAAAATTATTTTAATTGGAATTCTAATGGACATTCTCATTAACAATGCAATGTTGGAAACGACGACGTTTTAGGAACTGGTGGAACAATGATTTGAAAATCCAGTACATAAATAGAAAGTAATCTTTGCCAGAAAATTACTGGAAAAATATACAACAATATTTAAAGTAGATTGTGGTGTGGATAATAGTTATTGTGGGTTGACAAATTCCACAGCAAACAAATAGGATATTACACAACATACTTAGGACTGGTGACAGAAATTTTCAAATCCCATGTACTCTTGATTCTCCATCTTCTCAACCATATTTGCTATCCCCACCCCACCTGAACCAAAAAAAACAGCAAAATCAAAATTAAGTACTTTAGCTTATTATATAAGCTGAAAAAATACTTGTTCATTTTGCTTTTGTGTGAGTTATTTGTTATACCTAAGCTGATTGCGCTCACAAAGATGGTCAAAGCTAGTATGAAGATGACAATGGAAGCCCTCCCAACAACTGCAATTATCTTTCTCACTACATGCTGACCAGTGAATGCAGCAATTGTTGCAACTAGAACAAAATAAGCAGCTGCAGCATAGAGTAAACTTGGAACAGTTAGTTTTTTTTCTTTCTTCTTTTTTTGGTATATATAGAAGTTATGAACAAATATAATTTTTGAAATCTCAGCTGAAGTTAGATTATTGCTACTACTTACCATAAGGGACTGGGAAACGGTTGAGAAGGTAATACTGTACAACTGACATGGAGGATGAGAATAGCATTGCAAATGTGGATGTAGCACTTGCTACCTGCCAAAAGATAAAAAATCATCAATCTGGTTTCGTTTTCCTGCTTATTTCGGTTGCAGATGTGATTTTCTCTTCCTGATGTTTTCGGTTATGATACCCGAAAATGTATGTTATAGATGATAGGCTATCAGCCTATGAGGCTTATATATGTTCTCTCAGCTGAGGCCAGTCCAGTTGACTTATTAATGGCAGGTAATCTAGTTGATATCCTTTGCACCATTGGATTTGGGCTGGACAAGATTTTCTGACTGATAAAAAGAATAGAGTGAATTTTGTCTTGCATTGAACAATACCTGAGGAGGAATTCCCAATTCAAGAAAAAGGGGTCCCAAGATGAAACCGCCTCCCAGCCCAAGTAGGCCACCCACCATACCAGCTACTATCCCACAGCTGCAGTAAAGAAAAATCTGATGCAACTTCCAGTTTGTGATTTCCTTTCCTTTGGATGCAATCACCCTGGTGCCTTTGCATAAGCATATGGCTTCAAAGAGCGTAACGGAGACTGCAATTGGTACCTACAAAATGATAAAATATTATGTTCAACTGGACATCATTCTTTTTATGTATGCTTGAGTGTACATAGTTATGTGTTTCTATAGTTCTCCTGAAAGAAATCTTACTACCCTAGTTGTTAACCTTACCTGCAAGGAGTTCAGGACCCAGAACATGGTGGAGCAAGTTTCAGTATATGTCTGCACAAAGTTCAGATACACTAATTCATTAACAAAAGTTAAAATCATGTTGCTTTGGAAGCAAATGCAGAGGAATTAGAAAGATGGAACTTGATTGCATTGCTAGTGATGATCATATCTTTTGGAGAGCATTTTAAGGTCCGGTATGCGAATAGATGAGTTCCTAGAAAAGCTTCTTTAGTTGAACAGAACTACAGAATAAAATAACTTACCTTAACAATCTGAACAATAAGAAAAGCCACCCAGACATACACAAGCATCGATAACTCCTTCCAGTAAACGTTGTGTGATATAGGCACCTGGATAGAGTTGTTCATAATATCAATAAAACAAAAACTGAAACAACTTAAAAATTGAAGATGACAAAGAAGTTGCAAAAGAATACTGCCCTAGAGTGTTCTGATATTCTTGGAACTTACCTGCTCATCTTGCAATGAAGCAGGACCACCAGGTAGTGGTTTGTAGTCTTCTCCAGAACCATCTGCAACAAAGGAGATGCGCACTTTAGAGTTTTCTTTTAGTTGATATTAGTGTATAATCTCTAAACTTGGTCTATATATATAGGAATGTTTGATTGGATGAGCACTCACCGCCAGGTTTGGACTCCGATTCCAACTGCTTTTCTGCTTCCT